GGCAGACAACAAAGTAGTAGGCCTATTGTAAAAAAATACTTAAAATCTATTATTAAAATATAACATTATTAAAAAATACATTGATAGTGTATTATAATATAATATTATGCTTCCTACGCTATTACACATATTAATGCTTATTTAAGTACTTTTCAATATTTCATAACTTTGAAACCAGTTGGGTCCACAAAAAAAAAATTATTACAGGATAATACCCTTACTTATTGTAAAACCTACTATATCTGAGCCAAATTTGAAATTTTTATTTTCATGCCCATCAGAGATATTAAGCATCAAACTTTTGAAATTGTTAAGATTTCAAAATTTTTTATTTCAAACTCTATGTAAGTCCACAACTTGAAACTTTGATGATTTGGAATACACACCCATAACTATCAGATAAAAAATAACAAACACATAGTCAATTGCCTTTAGGCCTATGTAAAAATAAATTGTTAAAAATCAGTTTTCTTAACATCGTTACCGGTACGTTAAACTTTAAACAGGTAATTAGACCTATATATATTTAGTTTTAAATACATAAATATATTACCATATTAAAGTTTAGATCTTGCTGAAGAGATTGGTTTTTACTTTAATGTTCTAGGATTAGCAGAACCAGAGATATTTAATTTAACGCAGAGCTCTGAAATCCCTGAAAACGGGCATTCGAGTATCAAAAAAATGGCCGCCATACAGTAGAAAAATAAAATAAGTTGTATTTTTGTAGGCCCTTCTTCTAATGATGTACTTTCAAGGATAAAAATATGAACAAATTAAAAATCTTGAAGCCAACCAATTAATTTATTTCTGGACCACTTGATATGGATTGGACCCTTTATTGACCTGGAAGTAACCTCCGGGTGCACCCTCACCCGTTTTGAAAACCAATTCGCCCTCTGAAAGGTTAACACTGTGCTGCATTTCTTGAGCAATCATTGAAAGAGACGATTTGCAAACTATGGAAATATAGGAAAGTCATAGAACACCACCAAGTAGAAGAAATAGAAATAATAGTGTTTTAAAGAATTTACAATCGTTAATATGGACAACCTAATACGGCTATGAGTGGTTAACATTTGTATAAAACACTCAAAAACAAGATCAGCTTTTGAAAAATGATAAGATATTTACAAGAAATGTTGACTAAATCAAACTGTTATTTACATCATGACTGAGTATTTCCATTTAATATTTGAGTCAACTGTTTTAAAGTCATCGGAAATTATACACGTGATAAAGGATATGTTCACGGATACCACAGTATCAATGTAGTATCACAGGAACCATTTGGCGTCTTCCAAGGGTCAGAAAAATGACGTAGTGCTCGCGCTAAAACCTATTGAGGGGGATATTACGGATCAATAGACACGCGACAGTTGATACCACTATATACGTGATAGGACATGTTCAATATAGTAGAGTAGGTACCACAGTATCAATATAGTAGGCCTATCTCAGGAAAGATTTTGGCGTCTTCAAATGGGCAGAAAAGTGACAAAGCGGTCGCACTAAATCTATTGATGGCGATAACTTACTACGGGTCACTAAGACAGACGACAGTACCACTAGGCTACATAATTGACGTCTTCACATTATAGGCTACCAACATTTATCTTAAATTAATACAATGATCTTATTGCATACAGTAGTTGTAAACAAAGAAATTGAACACATTGCAGTAATGACAGTTAGCTCAACTCAGTCAAACATTGAAATAACCTATAAAACGTAGTGACTGGAACAGGGTCACAACGCCATTTCCCTGCCATGGCTGTGAAGCTGTTTAACATGCTGCCGGAGAACTTGAGAAACCTTGAGACCAAGAAGTTTGAGAGAAAAATGAAAGACCAACTTACTCAGTCAGCCTATTTCTCCATCAAGGATTTCCTTGAGGATAATCTAGCGAGTAACTGACTCAAAACCCTACTTCACCCACCAAGTTTGTGAGTTGACATAGGCCTATTTGTATATATACAGTAGGCCTAGCCTAATATACATTTTTTTTTATATGACAAGAACATTTGATTTTGCTATTTGATCTAAAATTACGAAAACTGACACAGTTAATTCAGTAAACCTGGTCAAAAACGAAGAGATGGTAAGGTAAACATACCAAATACCGAACACCTGCCAAATACCGAACGCGCTGGGTTTTGTCTCAAATAATAAGCATATGCTTCATCTGATCAACACCTACTTAAGATTAAAGCATTCGTTGGCTTTTAATCTGTCTGCAGACAAATGGGTTTGTAGATCGTCATTGGCCACTAGATCCAGTAAGCCGTGATTGGTAATGCTGTACACAGTTTTTGCAAATTTCTAAAATCTCTTGTCTGTTTCCTTAGGAAAGTGGTTGAGATTCTTAGGCTTTAAATAGCTATACCGGCCAATTTGTAATAAAGTACAGTTGTTAATATGCAAATTTAAATATTTTTACTGTCATTTTAAGCCATAATAAAGACCCAGAAACTATTTTAAAATTAATTTTCTAGCCGTTCGGAATTAGGATGGCGAAATGTACACTAAGCCTAAGTTCCGAACGCATGTTCGGAATTAGGCAGCGGTACTTCCTAATTTCGGATCGTTACGTTTTTCATGATATATTTACTGATTTTGAATTATTATTAATTGCAAATACCTATATAAACCATATTAGTTATAAATAAAATCATATATTTGCCAAATTTTATAAAAGTAGAGTACTTTAAAAGAATATTTTTAGCAGAAAATGGTCTTTTTAGGCCCACTGAAGTAGGCTAGTTTTAAACTACCGAGCGTTGTTACATTTTTTGTAGGATAATTTTAGTTATAAATTAATTGTAAGTTAAATGGCTATAAAATTTATAACAAGTTAAAATTATAAATTTTCCAAAAATTACAAAAATGTATACTTTGAAACAATTTTATTAGGAGATAAATGGTTTTCATAGGCCTACTGAAGCAGTTCCGAACCGCCGAACCTTACGTTTTTAGTGTTATATATACACATTATGAACTGTAAACAGCTAACAATCGGTAATTATTACCCTTTATAATTATATCTATTTTCAAAATTCGCAAATATTTAATACTTTGGAATGTTATTCTTATCAGAAAGTAGTGTATTAGGCCTACTGAAGCAGTTCCAAACTTCCGAGAATGTTACGTTTTTTTCTGTTATATTTACAAATTATTAACTTAGGGTAACTGTAAACAGCTAAGTAAAATCGGAAATTATTACAATCATAATAGTTAGCCTATATATTTTCAAAATTCACAAAAACGTAGTAGCTTTCTTACTTATTAAATGTTATTTAGCAAAATAACAAACCAGAGCCAACACACCCTCATCACCCCTTATGACTCAGATTCTTGGGAATGCCAATCCCAAAATACCATCTGAACTGCCATATGATTAGCCCCTCTACATTCCTACATTATATAACCATGACATCATTCTGTCCTTGTTTATATTGAAATATGCAAAAAACATACCAGAGGTCAACTCACCCCATCTCCACTTACATGACTCACATTCCAGAGAATGTCTAACCAATACCAGCTGACGTAATGAGATCATCCCCTTCACAACCATGTTTTAACTCAACTCTTGTTATTTTTATTTGTTAAATCTTGTATGAGATATAATTTAAGAATTAAATGAGAATAAAAATTGCTTTCAATACGTTTTTGGGCTTCCTGGGCGCCGGCGGAATTGCCGTTCGGTATTAGGCGGCACAAATTCGGTATTAGGAAATTCGAACTCGGTATTAGGCAGTTTCAAAATTTTTGGTATTGGTTGAAAAAAACACAATTTCTGGTAATAAATATTATTATTATTGACTTCAAACGCTGAAAATTAAATCTGGAAATATAAGCAATCATTTTAATAGCAACAAATAAAGCTTACTTTATACCTATAAATATATTTTACAGATTAATTCATAACCTAACCTTAACCGTTCGGTATTTGGTATGTTTACCTTATTAAGGTATTAAAGGCACAATAAAACAGATTCCTGAAACACAAACGTTCACACACAAAGGCGCGCGCACTACTGGTGAGTAAGCTCGCACGCACAGTCGCGCACACTATTTATTGGGGAGTTATTGGCAGATTCACATATCAATTTTTAGGCGTAACTTAGGCTTAGCATAAGTTAGAGCCTAAGTATTTTAATAGTTGAAAATGGTGCTGGCCTGATTTATAACTTTGATAACTTATGCCTAGAAATTAACTAAGTTAGGGCCTACCTTTAACTTAAGTTAAGTTACTAGGCTTCTCGAAGTGAATAAGCTATCAAATAAAATATTCCTATCAATCTAAGCAAAATAGGTTGGGTTAGGCTTTAGAAGCCTAGGCCTTTTTAAGTTAACTTTACTGTATTTCAAAGTGATAGGCTAAGTTGCCTAGGCAAACTTAAGTTAAGTTAAGCCCACCATAAGTAAGTTTAATCTTTAGGCCTAGTAAGTGCAACATGCAACGAGATAAGTTACTTATTGTCATTTAGCCTAATAATTATAAAAGATGCAGTCGTTCAAAACAGAACTGTATCCCTAAGCCTAGGTTTAGGTAGGCTAACTTATTATTACTTCGTCTATTATTTATTTTTAGTTCTGAAAGCAATTGATAGCATATACCGGTAGGCCTTAAATCTGAATTAATTTTCTATAGGCCTAGGCTATTGTCTGATAAATTCAAGGGTTAAAAAATAGCCTAACTTATGCTGGAGTATTTTACACCATTTAAGTTATCCAAACAAAACAGTCAGCAGCTAACTTAAAATGTAAAAATAAGTCTCATTTGGTTAGCCCTAGGACTAAGTAGGGCTAGCCTTATAGGCTATAGCTATAGGCCTAGACTTAATCCTTTTGCCTAGGCCTCAACCTTTATTTACCGCCATTAACATAAAGGAGATGTTGATTTCAACATTCAGATTTTCGTTTAAATAATTTAAGTTTGGATGATTTAAGCTTATAATTCAAATTCTAAACAAAATAAAACCATCAAAACTCACCATCCATCAGAGATGTATGTTCAAGATCCTGATATCGACATTTCCCTGGTAAACACAATAAAACTGCTGTTTGGATATTTTAAACCGCCGAATGTCGCTTTAAAAGCTTACAATGGGCAAACAAAATTACATCCTAGGGACAAAGCCACCACTACTGACGTTAATAGAAACATTCTCATACAAAACGCAAAACAATTTAAGCTCACTTGCGACTTAATAACTAAACAGAAATCCTTTTAGAGGGACAAACATTATTCCCATATTGAAACATCACCTCGCGCTAAATACTACGCTGTTCATAACTACATTTAATTCTGTGCCTTGGTCTAAGACGCAAAATATTTAATTGATCATAGTTTAATTTTTAAGGCACAACACACATTATTAACAAACAATAATATCAAGAATCTAAAACCATTTTTATTGTTGCATTGATTTTTATAATTCATTTGTGTATCATAAATTACTACAGAGTACAGCTTGACTATCTTTGCAATGCATTAGCCTTGTGAAGGAGAGGGAGAGCGAGGATAGGATATTTTTTCGTCTGTTCTGTTATTTCTCCCACCTCCGCACCTCAACGACTTTTGGGTCATATCTACACAAGAGGAAGACCAAAAATCGGTAGAACGCGCCAAAATTTTAGTATTATGGTTTATAGTACTGTACCGGGGGACCGAGCCTGCGCCTTGCTCGGTTGTAGCACAGAAAACGTACTAAGTACGTTTTCTGTGGTTGTAGTTAAATTGGGTTTGTTTAAACGTTTTAAAACAAACATTTATCATATTTCCGAAAAACATTTTTATTACAAACCATAGACAGATATTTTATCTAAATTTTATAGCCCCGCTTTTGAACGCTGAAATAATAACAACTCTGTAATGTAAAAGCATGCACATAAACAAAAATAAGATAGGTAAATTTTTATGATTTGCACAGAATTTTTCTCCCCGCTAGTCACTGAAACCCATTATTGTTCGACTATTTTTCTCTAAAGTAAGCAGATAAAAATATTATACAAAATAAATCATATAAGTTTCAAAATGGCTTGTGACAATTTGTCACTACAACTTCTAAAAAAAATTGAGATTCTGTCTGTTTTTTTTTATTGGGATTTAGCTATTGGTAATAGCATTGACTATTGGGTACTGAAGTTGTATTGATAGTCAAAGGTAATATAGTTTCATGCCAATTAAAAACCCCCAGATGTAATATTAATTAGTTTTGGAATACCGTACCTCAGTACTTCAGGGAAGTTTTTGTGGAAAGGGCAAAGTAAAATAACCAATATTTGATCTGTTTCTCCTTTTAGCGAATTTCCCATATAGGGAATAAGCTATTACCGTAGTTAGCACTCATGGTAAGGTAAGACTTGGACCCATGGTGGAAGGAAAATACATAGGTGTGCTATTCCCGTCATATGCTGACGTCTCTCAGATTACAAACACCACTATACCATTTTTAGATAACAATCAAATCAAAACAAATGTATAAACAAATATTCTTTTTTCCAGCATTAAACAAAAATGTTAAATTACAAATCTCTCAGGTATCCTCTTAACTCATTATTTATTTCTCATCGCTCTCAGCTCTGTAACGTTCATTGCACGTACCGTTTCCTCTTTGTTTTTACTTGTCTCCATGGTTATTCACTTCAAATATTTATCATTGTTTTTAATATTATTTATTGTTCTCACAAACAAATATTTATGTATCTGTTTATTGTTATTTCATTGTTATTTATATCGTTCATTGTTATTTCATTGTTATTTGTATTGTTTATTGTTCTCTCAAAAATATTTATCATGTTTATTGTTATTTCATTGTTATTTATATTATTTATTGTTTTCTAGGTTAGTCCATACTCCATGTGCCATTTATTGCATGTATACCACTGAGCTAAAAGTATTGCCGGTAAATTGCCTTTCTCTCTGCCGCCAAAAGTTTGACGGGGATGACTCCAGCAACCACCACGACGGTGGGCTCGGACACTGTTCGGTAGGCAGATGCTACCCTCAGTGCTGCCTGACCCTGCACTCGGGCGAGCCGCATCCTGTATGCCTCCTTATTTGTCTGCTCACACCTCTGCACCGTACAAGAGTACGGACTGGACCGAAGACATTAACAGCCTTCTACGACTGGACCGAGGCCCTCCGACATTGGGCATCAATTGGCTAAGAGAAGAAACCACCCTAGCGGCCTTGTCCGCTGTACGGAAGATCTGATCACGCCAGCTAAGCTTGCTGTCTACCATGACCCCAAGATACTTGGCAGAACGAACGGTTTGAACCTCGACGGCTCCCACCCTCAACGGGACGATGGTGTCAATCCGTTTTTTGTCAAAATCACGATCTCGGTTTTGCTCAAAGCAAGCGAGAGACCGTGGTCTGCCATCCATGCGTTTATGGTACGCATAACTCGGTTTAGCTTTAGCTGAGCCAGCTCAACGTTGCGTGCAGCTATCAAAGCTGCAACGTCGTCTGCGTACCCAACCAAAACAGTTTCCTCAGGCATTTCAGACCTCAGAAGGCTGTCATAAGCGACGTCCCAGAGGTCTGGGCCGAGTAGCCAAAGTAGGCCTATTGGTGGATGTAAAAACATTAGTTATTAATAAGACACTAATTTCAAAGTGGGTTTCCTTTAAAATATCTGCCATAAAAATCAATTATTCTCCTCCACGCGAGACAATTTTTTTCTTTTAATCAATAACGATTATTGTTAAGCAACTTGTAAGACAAACTCACTATAAATTAACGATCGAGGGCCATGCTATAATGAAAATAACAATACTTGTTATTTTTTTCACATGCTTTTAAACCGTTATCCTACACTCATCCCCATTCATACTTGGCTTAAAATACCTACCTTATGTATGGTCACCATTTCATCGAAAAGTATTAAAGTACTGTATTAAGTTAAACATTATTAACTTTTTTATTGTGAAATTCCTGTGCATTTTAAATCATCTTCGGGGAACCTATGCCTAAATTATCTATGTATTTTTAAATATAGGAATAGCAGTGCTGTCCAGCTGACAGTGGTGGCGCCTTGACAGCGACCCTCGGCATTGAAGGTATCACCCAGGGCTACAGATATGGTATCACCACAGAAAACATACTACGGTTATAGTAGTATGTTTTCTGTGGTATCACAGGGCTCTGTGTGTTTAAATATTGTTTCAGTTTTTCTGCTTGAGGTTATTAGGTCACAGTCTCACGCAACTTAAGCCATAATAATACATAACCATATTGGTAGATTTTGAATAATAACAAGTAGAATAAACTTAGCATGTTTGTTACTGCTGGGTTTAGACTGTTTAGACTGGCTGGGTAGCTGAGTGGTTATAGTGCTCGCCTAGTAATCAAAAGGTCGCCGGTTCGATCCTGAGAAAAGTTAGTAGCTTTTTGATGGTTCGAAACTGGACCCAGCTGTTCCTGATCATTGGGCTTTAAATAAATGATCCTGACTAATGAAACCGCTGATCTTAGTCAGTAACAAAGCTACACAGGTCATCACACACCATTCTACACTCATCCTTCACTCATATTTGGGTTAAAATACGCACCTAGGTGGCGTCCCCATCTCAATAATTGATTGATTGATTACATTAAATATGGTATATAATCTTGGATCTAGTATTCTTTATATTCGTTCAGTCTTAGTTTGTGCTCAAACTCATTCCCCGTGATACTATGCGCCATGCGGCGATGTTAAAAAAATATGGAGGGAGTGGGATGAGATGAGAGTTTGGTTTGGTTTGGGGTTTGCATTGTTTGGATTCATTGTCATTGTCGTCCACGGGCCACGCTCATTTATAAAACTAAATCTAAAGGTTTTTGTAAAAAAAAAACATTTGTTTTTTAGTACCGTTAGGGTAGGCCTAGTGAATTTTGGTTAATTTTGGAATTTTGATTGTCTTTCTTTATTTAACTTTAAAAGCTCCTAGTTGCTCTCCTCAAGGGGCAGGTTGCCTTAGGTATTTCGCGTGGTTTAAGTTGTTAGGATTAGGTATAGGACTTTTGACTTGCGTGTTTTGGCTTGTGGTTAAGTGGTTTGCTCTTGATGGTTTCTACCAGTTAACCAGGAGTTTCTACCAGTCTAAATTTCAGGAATTTTAAATAGAGGCATCCGCATAGGCTAATACTTTGAGATTTTGTCCTTGAAGTTATAATGTTTTTCATTCATTTAAGTTATCTTAACAAGGAAAGCCCTACAGTACTTTGGTTATCGCAAATTTAATTTAGCAATTGATTCAAGTTTTAAAACCTCCCTTGTCTACTAAGTTAAGAATGGAATGCGAAGCTGTCATCGTTGCCCTTGGCATTTATTTCATGGGGGATGCCTTGTACTTTTTAAAGAAGGTAGGCCTAGGTCTAATTTATTTTTATAAACTTTTATAAGCTCGTTAAGGCCTTACTCATCTGTTAAATAAGTTAAGTGTAGTGCTCATTTTGTGACGGGGCTGCACTTAACTTTAGGTCCTACACTCATTTGAATGAAAATATCGATCGATATACCGTATCGATTAACCGATTGTTTCATTCAATATATCGTTTTGTTAGTTAGGTAAGGTTAACCTAACCTAACTAACCAAACGATATATCACATGAAACAATCGAATAATCGATATTTTCATTCGAATGAGTGGAGAACCTAACTTTAAGTAAAGTGCAGCCTGTGACGGGTAGGCCTAAGTTATGTGGCAGTACTTACTTCTTTTGAAAAGATAAAAATATTGGCTTAAATAGGTACTTTTTTGTCTTAATCATATTAAATAAGTTAGGTTACCTACAGTTGTTCCGGCACTTCATTTTTTACAAATCGAGCACTAAATAACTTAAGGGGAGTACAATGTCCCTAAGTTATACCGTGCGTGTTAAATTGACAAACTTTAAGGTAACTTAGGCTACCTACAACTCTTAGTAAGTTACCATAGCCTAAGTACTTACCGTACTTAACTTATCACAATGAAACTTTGCATGCTTGTTTAACTTATTATAGTCTATTTAACAACTGGAGGTATAAACTATAATAGGCTTAATATCTTACTCGTTACAGTTACCTACTATCTCTTTAACTCCTCTATCCAAAAAGGAATTTTCCCACACGTACTTAAAAGTTGGTCATATAGTCCCAATCCTTAAGATTGGAAATCCCTCAGAAGTGATCAACTACAGGCCAATCAGTATACTGCTGTCAATCGGAAATGTGTTTGAGATGCTGGTTTTGTCAAGATTCAAGCCATTTCTAAGGCCGCTTATT